TTGTCGCATACGACTTATTTACCACTTCCGTGTCACTGAGAATGTTCTAGAACCGTACTGTGTCTAGGTGGAATATTCTAGATTTTTTTTATAAACTGGTTGAATAGGTAATAGAACACTGTAGGAGGCAATAGAAGGTAATGGAACATTCTAGAAATTTGTAGTAAGTTCCAGACTCATTATGTATGCTGATGTAATGGTCTATTTATAGACAGTGGTAGTATATATAGGGGAGTTGTTCAGCACTGAGGTCAGATCGGAGATCTCGTTGAATAGTATTGGAGTTTAAGTATTCAGTTATTGGAGTAGTCGAGTTTTACCGCGTTATTGTACTTGATTTTTACAGAGTATAATAATACCAGTACCAGTTGAAACCTCATCTGTTGGCTATGTTTTCGTATTTTATCATCGCCGCCAGGGAAGTCTTTCTGTTACTGTTGCCATTTTGGTATTTGAACCATCACACCTGTACTATACCAATTACGGTAATATTACGTTGCGTGTGACATGCATCTCGTCCTTGTTGTGTTGCAAGAAACTATTGAATATCATCAATTTGCAAATCCTGGTAGTGTGAGTTATTACCAATGCTCGCTTTCCTAATCCCCTATTTTAGTGACTTTATTCATTGTATAATTCTGTGCTTTGTTTCTTATTATTTTGAGTAAGAAACTTGCTTTAATTTGATATTTGTGTGTGTGTATATTTTATTTTATTGACGAAATATGCTAAAAAGCGGCATTTACAACAGTTCCGCAATTGTGTATGCTGAACATATACGAATTTAAAAACCTTTTGTGGTTGCTAAATGATCGGAAAAGTGCGTGTTTTGATCACAGAATCTCTGTTCTTTTTACACAAACGATATAATACGAAGGCATTTTATATTTCAGAGTGAGAATCTAGAAGAGAAGAAATAATGGTAAAATCTGTAGTTTCAAGGAAGAGTGAAATGCCTTAATTCTAAAATAGGCGTCACAAAATGTTAAAAAATTAGTCAGTCAAAACAAAAATATTACATAAGAAACGAAAAAAGTATAACTAAAAAAAGTTTCAAATAAAAACAAACATGAATGCATTGCTTAGTAGAAAACGATCGCCGTATCACAATCCCGTCATGCTGAGTTTCCCAGTTGAATAACTTTCTTGTTTTCAAAGTGTTGCAACCGGTAATTATAACTAAGTAGTGATTATAATAACGTACAACAAATATAGTCGTTGAATTGTTATGAATTGCAAATAAAGTTCAACTTAGTTTCATTGTAAGTATTGTAAATGATTTCGGTCACATGGATACGATATCCGCCATGTTTTTTTTCTACACACGAGTTGATCTAAAACTGTGTTCTTTGACCTGATAGGTCAATTCGCTAATTTAATGGAGCCATCATGTTCGATTTACCATGGCTCATTTAAATATGTTAATGACAGTTCAGCGACGTTATGATGAACGCAACACACAAGAGATTTACCAATGTTGTAGTACGGTCCTTTGGCTTTGATTTAGATTAAAAAAAGGCATAATTTTTTTTTAAATAAAAAAAGTAGTTGTTTTGGGAAGATAAATTCTTATTCAATTCTCAGTTTAACACTTTTTTACGAATGATAACATCCAATTGTCGAAACGAAGTTTACCCATTCATGCTTAGCCACAATAAAACTCGTACTTTTTAATAGGCATCAATAACTACCAACAACCTAAATTAGACTCTAGAAGAGGTGTCCGGAAAGATTGAAATGTTCCACAAAATGACCGTAAAATCCCTAATTTAGGCATATTTTGAAAATTTGCCATTAAAACTCCCATTTCATACATAGTAATATAGAGCAGTCACATTCGTATTTTCCGTATAGCGTAAGGTTACAAGGTGTAATTAGATCGCAAAAAAAGCATTCCAAAGATTAGTTTCAATGGTTAAAAAGTGGTCAACTTCTTCAAATTCATGTAAACTTCGATTCTTAAATATTTTCAATTAAATGGTAGTTATGAAATTATAATATACATACAGAAGTTATAAATCTCACACAGGACTTTATTTGAATCAATTTATATGAAGAGATTACTTCTTCAAAGTGGGACACAGAATTTTCAATGGAGCAGCGACTATACCTGGCATCGATTAATACTTATTTTTGCCAGCTAAAAATTGATGAAACGAAAATTTATTTTCTGTTTGTGCATAAAGAATATTACTGACAAACACACATTTGATCATTACAACAGAATCCGTAAATATGTATTATGGTAATTGTAATAATGAATTTATTAATCCGTAGAAATAATTTTCATTGGTTGTCAGCAATAAAATGTTAGCAATAAAGTACAATACATATAATACTAAAATAAAATGTCAGTTATTATTTCTATGTATTCACCAACTTGTCTTATTATTTCTTCACTTGAACTCATAATATATTTAAATATCCAGACATCAATTTTAATTTTTCTGCCCGGTGGACGAGGGGAAGACGTGTAGTGGCGTGAAGCTAGGCGATTAGGTGCCGTACGCGAGCGCCGGTTCGAGTCACGCACGCAGTACGTATTTACTATAATTAGACATAGTCTTTACCTTGCCGTTTATTCGGTGTTATTTGCTTACTTTACTTCCTATGTCGACAGCAACTATGAGTTTAAAAAATATTTCTCATGGCCCTCTGTAGTCTGATTTCGCGAAATATACCTATAGACGAAGGGTCACATTAACCGGGTCACTCAATGACGGATTGACCTCCAAGTTGTATTTTAACAGTACATTATATCAGAGAGACTAACACATTCGATGCAGGTGAGTGTAATGTTCGCTCGTCAATTTGCTAATGTTCCAAAACGTAGAGGTTAAATAGGTTCGTCGGCTATGTTCCCTTTCCCATGAAAGAAAAAACACGCGTGTGCCTTCATGGTGCCAATGGGAGTATGAACTTGTGCCAAATGGGGTCGCAAGTTAGTTTGATATAGGAATATTTGGACAGCTATTTAGAAGCGTGATGATAGCATAGTATATGAGTGGAAATATAGTACTGTATTGTGTGCTATTGATGATGATGTAAATTTATCGACACTCTAATGTTGCGGGACATTCAAGTCATTTCTTCCGTGTTTTTTTTTTTTTGCTTTACGTACATGGTTGTGACGTCATTTCCGTGTCTATAAGCAAATTTACAGTAAAAACTGAACCAGGGACCCGAGCTTAAAATTCAGTACGCTCAGTAAATATGGGGCATTCACACAGTACATTAAACCTATCGGTCTACAGTATTGCTATTTATACGTGGGATAGCAAATCTAAAATTTAAATTGACTCTAAAATTAGTGTCATATAACATCCGCCAGTCGGAATTACCGCCGGGTCATTTATGTTTAGAATTTATCATTTACTAATACAGTCCAACGACCAAAGGATCAATAACAAAAATAATATAGTAATTTAATTTGAAATTATAAAACAGTGCATTCCCTGTACAATGTGTACACTCGTTAGGGATGACAGGTGAGCAGATTAAGTTGGTATTATGTAACAGGGAGTTATTAGATTATATTTCCAAGCATTTAGTTAAATGCCCAGCCAGCATTTTAGCATTTTTATAATCCCAGAACTAGAGAGTAATAACATACTTTTGCAGAGATACCTCGGTATATACCCCTGCCTTCCGCAAATTTCAACAGCCACATTAAATATGGGCTCATACATTCAGGTTGAAATAGAGGTCGTTTAATATGTTAAAATCATTTCCAAAAGTGCTGTTTCTATGGCAGCTGGATTCGCATCTCAACCAAATAAAATAAAATGATTCTCGAGTCGGTATCGAAGGCAAACTTCAAACATTCTTGATTTTTGAATGAAAAACAATTCCTTAAACTTCCGTTGCCATGGCTCCAGTGTCCACATATCTACCAGCATTTAATGAATTTGCTCGTGCATCAAAGGTAACCTCTATGGAACATTCCATGTCATTACTGCAATGAGAACAAATTTTCTCCGCAAATATTACAACTTTTTGACCTATATGGAAATATTTCTAAAATGTTTATGACAACCAGAATCACTCTACTGACTTGTATTGTTTCGTCTTTGTATCAACTGCAATCGCTCTTGAACATTGTATTCACTCAAATAACATACGACATACAGCCATAGTCATTCATACAAACGTCGTATTTTACATGCCAACAATCACACAAAAGAACGACTGAAAAAATGTACAAAATAATCGAAAAGAACAAATAAAAAGAACTGAAAAAAAAACTTAAACATAAACACTAGTCACATAGTCGATAATATAGGTGATAATAATGAAAAATATTGCTACAAGCAACACTGTTTGGCTTCTGTCAACATGGTATTGAACCCGATTTGTTTTGCCCTTTGTTTTCATTTAGTATAGCCCAGTCACTTTCGATGTTCATCAAAATTGTCGTTTTATTGTTGGAAAACCGCAGACCTCACATTGTCATATTTTTTTAATTGGCCAGCCAAGGCTTCCACATACAAGAAATATTCATACTATCTCTATTTATTTTATTTTATAATATTTTAACTGAATTCTTTAATTTGTGCAGTATTTCGATGTATTTCATTGGATTTTTACTTTCACTATGAACAAGCATACTAAAACTCCTAGATGTGTTACATGGTAATTTAAAACACGCAATTACAGATGTAATTAATTCATACATTAACAGGTAGACCAGTGACAATTGTAGAGAAGGGGGGGGGAGAGTGAAGACATGGCATACATTTTAGAATTTATTTTTGAAGCATAAAAATACAACGACTAGGTTGCGTGTCGCGTTTGCTCCCAATTAAAATTAAAATATTGTCAGCAATAATTAATAAATTATGTCCAGCGTACCTTTTATTTTCGACATCATATTCTATTTATTGTAGACTGAGGTCGTAATTTACTAATGGAAATATATGGTGTTATCTTTGTCCAATGTCTTCAATACAGAATTGGTTGCATGTTCCTATTTCTATCAGTGCCAGAGATATTGCAGATATGCACAATGATGAGGTCACAAGACCAATCCACCCCGAGTCACCAGATTTATTATCAGCTACTATTTGTCTTTAAAAAACACAAACTTTGAGTTTGTGTGGCAACTCCCTATTTTAATGTCGTACGTATACAGTATACTATTCCATGATCTGATGCATTTCTGTGTCACACAATATCACATAATGTAGTCATTACAATCAACAATTTCTTCAGAACGAGTGTATTTCGTTTAAAGAAACTTACGATTTGGGTAGTCGTTCTTAGTTTTTATACAATAACAAATAAGTAAATGACATGAAAAACTAAATTCAAATCGGAAATAGCCAATTTCATTTTTTCACAAAAACAACGATGCAAGCTAAACTACGTGTCTTGGGGTCAGTATCACAGGGTAGAACGGGCTAGTAGAGAAATGTTGCCAAATGTAGAATAGTTCATGTGTCAAAATTGCATCAGTGTAAAACTAGATTTTTTTTTTATTGTTTGTCTCACTGTAATGTTAGCCAATGATATATATGATCCAATCAGTTTTGCCACTCATACATGTTAATACGTGCCTAATTGTGTGCAGAGTAGCCCCATACATGGCTTCTACCTCATTAGTATTCATGGCACACTGTTGTCTGATTTCGCGAAATATACCTATAGACGAAGGGTCACATTAACCGGGTCACTCAATGACAGATTGACCTCCAAGTTGTATTTTGCCAGTACATTATATCAGAGAGACTAACACATTCGGTGCAGGTGAGTGTAATGTTCGCTCGTCAATTTTCTAATGTTCCAAAACGTAGAGGTAGAATAGGTTCGTCGGCTATGTTCCCTTTCCCATGAAAGAAAAACACGCGTGTGCCTTCATGGTGCCAATGGGAGTATGAACTTGTGCCCAATGGGGTCGTAAGTTAGTTTGATATAGGAATATTTGGACAGCTATTTAGAAGCGTGATAGTATATGAGTACTGTATAGTACTGTATAGGACTGTATTGTCTGCTATTGATGATGATGTAAATTTATCGATACTCTAACGATAAAACGCCACAGCTAAAATCAAATAGAGTTGTCACGGTCTGTTTGATTTTGACATGATGCTTTGTTGCTGAATAAATAGTGCTAACAACGATTGACCTGGTCGATTGCATTCTGCTAGTCGAAACACTAACAAGTGTGAAAGCTGGTCTGGTTAGCACAACAAGTCGTGTCGCGGATTGGGATAATATTGTCCGAATTATTACGACCTGCGATAGAAAACGCACATTATTTGATCATGGCAGTGTGTCAACGTCAAAGTAGTGCTTTTGTAAGTATTTTATAGTCTGAGTGAAGAAAGCATACAAGTATCTAATGTTTAAGTTTTTATTTTGTATTGCCCCGCGACAAAAATGTGGCATTTTCCCGTCATTAATAGAATAATAGGCCAAAATTTTGAGAAACTCATTCAGCAGGAATGTTGGTAATTCAGACAATAGCTCACTTTTCAGGTGTATATAGGCATAGAAAAAGAGATTTTCAATAACATGGCTGTTCAAGTTGAGTCGTCGTCTTCTTGAAATATAAAATCACTGAAGAGTAAATAAAAGGGATTTTTCGAATTGTTTTTTTTCAGTTGTTCAGTTGTACCTGGGATGTAATGGATTTAATGAATCAGAATTCATGATGACACAATCGAGATAGATTCTAAGTTTTTAGATTTCGGGAACACAACTGTGGTATAGATATGCAGCACTATAATTCCTACACCACGTGTAATTGGTACCTTATTGTTATTGAGTTTCTGACCTTCAATTGGTTGGTATGGTTCAGTCCAATTTCAAACGTCACGGTGGAAATTCAGTTTACAATTGAAACCTGGTCATGTATGATCGGATGCTGTTCAGTTATTTTTGAAGAGGTTTATTTAGAACCGTGAAATTGTATTTCCATTTAAAACAATCAACAAAACTTATATTATTAACTTAGTCATTTACTTTGGGCTTTAACATTTAAAAGTACTGATATGCATTATGTAATAAGTCAACATTACTAAGAGGTTTAAAATGACTAGCAATGTCACCCGAGTTGGAGCTGACATGACGAACCACACAAGATGGTGATATAATACACAGTGTGTGTTTCATGTAAACAGTTTGCATCCGAATATTAAATGTCGCCACTTTCGTTCGGCGAGCATGACTAATAATAACATAAAGTACCTTATCATCAGAGTGCTTAGAAATGGGTCACAATTTCGTTATGATTTTTACAATCCGAGTTTTCTGATATTCGATATATGTCACTAATAAAACTAATAAAACATTGTGTTGAATAATGGAGGAAGATATTGGTTGATTTACGTTTCTGAATTTTGTTTTGCAGCTCACCAGTTGATAAAAATGGCATCTAGTAAGAGGAAATTGGCTTTAATCACCGGTTCAACATCAAAAAATGGTATTGGTTATGCAATCGCTAAAACGTTAGCAAGAGATGGATACGACATTATTCTACATGGAAGACGAGATGAGGATGAAATAACTTCTCTCAGAAAGGACATAGAAAAGTAATATTCTCTCACACATTTTTGTTATTGCTATAAGCAGTCATATTTAATAACTATGAAGATATGCTCCTCATTATGGGTTTTTTTCTTCATTTTTGTGGTTTGTGGTCATAAAAATCACGATTACAAATATATATTACCTTTGCTTGCTCTTGAAATAGTATCAATGATTTCACATATTGCGATGTTTCAGTGAGTTTGAAGTGAACGTTTTTTACCTAAAAGCTGACTTAATGATTCGTGCAGAGATTGAACAACTTTGCAAAAGTATTGAAGAAATTCATCCAGGGGGTGTCGATGTTCTAGTAAACAATGCAGGTAAGGAACTAAGCAGGTGAGCAATAACGGGGATAACCGCAAAAATGACGCTGTAATTTTGATTTATACATGAAAAATCTAATGTATTACTTAAATGCTGATATCATTGTCATATACACGATTGACTTAAATTTGCGGGGCTGCTCCATCTAAACATATGTGTCATGCAGAATAATATATGATGATATTATTGATTGAACCTGAAACACCACAACCACATAGATACTCATGTGACTTATACATGACGCTATGAAATGCATTTT